CACCCTTATGGTATGGTTATTAGATAAACAATTAGGAAAATCATTAATATATATCAGAAACAGTAACGGACCTAATATGGAACCTTGTGGAACTCCATGTTCAATATTCTTTGTGGATGATTTCACATTATTATATACAACATACTGTAATCTATTACTCAAATATAATCTCAATAAGTCCGAACTGTACTATGAAAAACCATAATTATGCAGCTTATGTATAAGAATTTCGTGTGATACACAATCGAAAGCTTTTGTCAAATCTAAAAGTTGACTAGCAACGTATTTCCCTTCTTCAAAACTATTGTTTATTGTAATAAAAAAATATGTAGTTGCATTTATTTAGTTTTTTATTTAAATTTCTCTCACTTCTTCATTTGCTATTATTTACATTTTTACCAAATTATGTGTTACTGAAAATAGTGGTCATATCCAATAATTTTTGTGAAGGTAGTTTTTGAACATCAAAAACCACTATTTCGTTTTTATTATCATGCAAATAAAATATTTCAATTATTACTTTAGTCAATTTCCCAAAAACTAACCTTTACACATAAGTACCAATCTTCATTTAAGTGAGAACACGTTTTACAGTTATATGGAGAAAATCAAAAGTTTTTGTCAATTTCTACCCCCTCTAATGGCTAAACGAAACAGCTCTGTATAGAGTCAAATATAGTTATACTTATTTTGATTTCAAAAGTTCATGGTAGTTGCAAGTAGGTACACAGAACATTGGAACACTCTTTATTTCCCCTACCGTCTTTACCTTTACTAAGACTAATGCCGCTGAACAACTGGCTGGTCACGCTCTTGGTCCCCCCGACTCCAGTTTTGGCGGCTTTGGCGGCCTTGTCCTCTTTCGCCTTGAGCATCAGGATACGTTGGAGCAAAGGCAGACCCGGCCCTATGAGTTCCCCAGTATCCTCCTCGCAGACGGGAGGCGGCGATCTCATCGATGAAGACGTGGGCGACGCGACGGGCGTGACGCTTTTCGAGCGTTCCTCGTTATCCTGCTTTTCTTTGAGCAACCTAAAAGGGGTTTTGGACATACTAGTTCAATAATGACTCAGGGCACAAACAGTATAAATGGATAGGGTGTCTTCTAAATAGTATAAAATATTTCGTAGGATAATTCCTCAAAATTATAATAATTATTATGTTATAATAAGAGATCAGAAACAAATGCAGGGTTGGCTGTAGGCCGAGTTTTCTTTTATGTAATTTTATTCTAACAAAAGGTGGAATAACCGTTGCCTTCTTATAACTGCATTCTTTACATTATAAGAATACACATTTAAGTGTTTACATAATATACAGGGTATCCCACCACGAACTCCATCGATGGATAACTGGGAAGCCGCTCGAAGGATTTTTTTGAAATTGTGACCTGATTCTATTAGAGCAGCGACCCACAAGGAACTTGTGGGAAATTTGACCAAAAAAATAATTAAATTAAAAAAATTTTGGCACAATTAAGTAATTAAGCTAATCTAATGTGATTTTAAAGTAAGTTGTTCACTTAATGAGAATTATAGTGGAAGATGGATTGGAATGAAAATCTACAACCACATAAATTTTGTGTTTGCAAGAAAAGAGTGCAATTATTTGGCCATGCCAAAAATAATTGACCAATATGTTTCCTAAAAGCATGTTCGATAACACATACTACTGCTGTTTACTCTAGAGTAAATTTAGAAAAGACGCATGTTGAACTAAAAGCTTCTACAAGCTTTAATCTTAAAAATAACATGATTGATTGAAACCGTACATTTGACACATTAGGAGCCAATAATTTGTCTTCAAAATTTCACCATAAATAAAGTCGACCATTCACTGAGTATTTTGAATATGGTTTCACTTTTGACAACACCGAGAAAAGTCATCAATCTGATTATAAATGTAATTAGACCGCAGATTTCAATTAAATAAAAGACATAGGCTCCACCACAGACAGGTTTTTCAAATAATAATTATTACAAAGAGCTACAAAAAAAATACCTGGTCCAAAAAACCAGACCACGATATGTATATGTTTTTGGGGTCGCTGAATCCGAATCTGAGGTCAGTTTAATCCGATCAAGTCAGGGTTAAGGTTAATCCAAGATCATATCGCGAAAAACCTTAATGCAAAAAATTTTACCATTGTTACATACACGTTTTTGTGCTGACTCTGAATCCAGTGTTATATATTCAAAATTCAAGATGGCGGATCTAATATGGCGGACCAAATATTAAAAATTTTAAAATATTGGAAAACTAAAAATATTGTCGAATCTAAATAAAATTATAAATCAAAAGTGTCTCTATCAATGTTCCGATTAGAAGCATATTTTCCGAGAAAAGTATGAATATTGGAAAATTTTAATTAATTTGTTTTATGCGTGCAACGAATATAAATATTACAAAATGTGTTTATGGTTAAAGGAGTTTTTGGAGTTACTAATTCCGAATCTGGTGTCTTTTTAACTCTGTCACGTCAGTGTCAAAGCCATTTCAAGGTCAAATAAAAAAAAAGCGTGTGAGTGTAGGAAGAGACGTTTTTGGACTTACTGCGACCCCAAAAACATATAGACATCATGGTCTGGTCTTTCGGACCAAATACTTTTTTTGTGGCACTGTTATTATTTATGTAAACTGATTAGTCGTCATTATTTAGCTGCAAACTGTTTTAAAATTTATTTTGAAACTAAACAATGATCAAAGTCCTATCAACAAAATTACAATAAAATGGTTTCTTATACTTCTTTCAGGCACTCTTGAAATTTTAATTCATAAGCCTAAGTTTCGTAAGTCTACGTCAAAAATCTTAAAATATAAGTAAATAAATGTGATATTTTTTTTAAATCAAACACCAAGATTTTCACCAGCGATTTTTTTTTTGTTTCATGAACATCATTAAAGTTTGGTGTAATAACAAGAATCACTGGACGAATTGTAATAAACATTCGAAAGTATGCAAAATTCCCAGATATAGAGGAAACTCACAAGCACTTTGTAAGTTGTAAATTGTCAGGGTATATCAATTGCATTGCGCATGATTAAATTGTTATAACTCTTCCATCGATGTGCTGAAATGGAGAACGCTGAGAGAACGACTGACTGCAACGAAAACTGATTATTTATTATCCTTTCGTCAGCGAATCGTCGGTAGAGAAATAAAATTTCGACGGGTTCCTGGCGATCGACCATGCATATTGGTGTTAGAATCACAATAAGTTCACTCTAATGTTGGTTTAGGGTAAACAGGAAGCTGATGAATTAATTACTCCATTCATTCTAAGTAAACATCAAGCAAGTAGAAGATATTTTTGTATACAAAGCTTGAAAAAAACCCTGAAAAGAATAGGAAACTTACATGAACATTTTATTCTTTTAGATCTGCATAAATTTGAAATCTATAACCAACAATTAATAATAGTAAATAAAACAATGTGTTTAATGCAAAAATTAATTGTAGATTTTTAAAATTATGTAAAAGTTCAAATTTTGTCTCGTGATCAAGAACGTGATGATTGTAGTGTGATCTAGTGCAGCTGAGAACGTAATCTGCTTATCGGCCCTTATAATCGAAATAAATTAGCAATTAAAATGGGAAATAGGAGAAATAATTTATAAAGTTTAAAAAATTTGGGTGTGGACTCTTAATAGACATCCAAACACAGATCAAAAGAGTTCCCACCTCTCAGGAGGGTGCTTCATCCCCTTTTGCTTCAGAAACCACCCCGTTACGTGACCTGGTGCCCGTTTTCTGATTTTTCTCAAAAACTGTTACTCTGGCGAGGAAAATGAATAGGACCTAAAACAATCAGCATAAAATTTTACAACATTTGTGTCCTACAAATTTTTTCCTATATCCAACACTAATCTCTTAAATGACGTTTGAAATAGGTTAATGCTGGTAAAGACAAAATAACATAACATAACAAAATAAAGCTTTACCTAATAGCTTTGCGATAAATTATTAATGTATTCCTTTTCGTTTTTTAATATTTAATGTAAATTGTATACATAAAACGTAAAACATATATTTAAACATGTTTAGTATGTATAGCATATAGTTCTCTCGATTTACAGAATTCGGAAATATATTATTTGCTCACGCATTCAGTGGATGTGATACTAAGTCAGAATTTTTTGGCAAAGGAAAAGGAAAAAACTGTAAATTTAATAAATACTAGAACGGACTTAGACAATGCTTTGCATATATTTAACAATCCATCATCGATCAAACCAGACATTGTATGAGCTTGAGAGAAAATCATTCATTAAAACAATTTAGATTTATTTCATTTAACAAATTTGTTGGTCAATCTAATAAAGCAGTGATATTATCAAGACTACCACCTACATGTGCTTTAGAACAACATTCGTATCGCGTTTTTCAACAAATTATTTCGTGGCGTGGAGAAAATTTGAAGCCTAATGAATGGGGATGGAAATCAATTAGCCAAATTTTAGTGCCAATTCCTACAATTGATGTACAAGCTCCTACTTCTATTATGCAATTAATATCATGCCGTTGTAAAAAGGGTTGCGGAAAACAATGCGGTTGTGCATTGGATTGAATTGTTCAACAATGTGCTCCAATTGTCATGGTCAAGGATGTCTTAATTCAGTGGTAGAGGAAGAATTAACTGAAGATAATTCAATTAATGAATAAACAGCAGTTAGTTTTTAGTGGATTAGGCCTCCAGAGGAAACAACTTACAAAAAAAAAACGCGCCGGGAACTTTACCTCAGCGGTGGTGTGGAAACGGGCTTGAATATAAAAGACGTAGTACCTAGTAATAATAAAATAAATTTTCTGTAGTCATATTTGTTTGTCCTTATGGCCAGGTTTGTGTAGAAAAATCTGTTTTGCATGCAATATTTTTCTATGGCCAATGTATTTCAAGATATTTGTCACTTTATTCGTTTTTGTCTAACTTCAGCAACATATCCTAATTTTTCAAACCATATTTGTGAGAGTAGAGTTAACGACAGAAAAATGTTTATAGAACATAAATGATGTAGAATTTTATGGCGAATATTTTAGGTCCCATTAATTTTCCTCGCCAGAGCAGCAGTTTTTTAGAAAAATTAAAAAATCTGGCGTTAGGTCACATTAGAGAATGGTTTCTGAAGTAAAAAGGGATGAAGCACCCACCGGATCGGTGGGAACTCTGTTGATCTTATTTGCATGTACGTAAGCAGTTCGCACCCAAATTTTAAAAGCTTTATAAATTATTTGAGTCGTCAGTGCCGCGAGAAACAACTACTCCGAGGGCAATTTGCCCCTATCGGCATTGAATTATACTCGCGACACCTAGTACAACAGCTAGGATCGTTTTATCAGTTTAACCCACCAGGCACAGACCGGTTTCGGACTTATTAGTCCTCATTAGTGTGTCATAGGTGCGACAACCGATAAACAACCCAGCTGTTCTCCGTCGTATCATCACGAAGAGGAAGTACATTGTACGCGAGAGCCAATGAATGGCTCCATCTGTCGTGCAGACTTCCAACTGTGCCATTCAAATGACTACAGTGGGAAGCGACCTGCTAACTGTAGCTACTTTGTTGCACGATTGCCACCCACAGAGGGCGTAATATAATGTTTGAGTCGTCAGTGCCGCGAGAAACAACTACTTCGAAGGCTATTTGCCCCTACCGGAATTGAATTATTATCGCGACACCTAGTACAACAGCTAGGATCGTTTGTCAGTTTAACCCAACAGGCACAGACCGGTTTCGGACTTATTAGTCCTCATCGATGTCTTATAGGTGCGACAACCGACAAACGACAGATGGAGTCATTCATTGGCTCCCACGTACAATGTACTTCCTCTTCATGATGATACGACGGAGAACAGCTGGGTCGTTTGTCGATTGTCGCACCTATGACACACTGATGAGGACTAATAAGTCCGAAACCGGTCTGTGCCTGGAGGGTTAAACTGACAAACAATCCTAGCTTCTGGGGGTGTTGGGAGTGTGTCTCATGGAAAATCCTTGGATTGGTATCAGCCCAGTAACAATTATGGCGATTCACTAAACCATTCAAAAAGAACGTACACTCGTCCGAAAAACACACATTAAAGAGGAAATTATCGTTTATCGCTCGTTCAGTCATTATTTCGCAAAATTGCAAACGACGATCAAAATCGTCTTCATTTAGCTCTTGCACTAGCCGAATCTTATAAGGATGGAATTTGTATTTTTTTAATATTCGTTGGACACTTGTACGACTCACTCCTGTCGCAGTAGCCAATTGCATTGTACTCAGCGTACTATCCATTGCCACTTGCCCCAATACCGCTATTTCCGTAGGTTCATTTAGTACCGGATTTTCAACCTGCCTCTTTTTGTTATGAACGGAGCCAGTTTCGCGAAATTTGGCCACCAATTCGCGAACAATTTTTCCAGACGCATGTTTCTCAGGATGCCGTTGGTTGAACAGTTCGGCGACCCGATTTCCGCATTCATTGTTTTTGAAAAAAAGCTCAATAATTTCTACTCTTTCTGGAATTGAGTACACCATAATTAATCAATTTAAAAGACTCGGCAGTATTGGTACTCTTCAACTACAAGTCACAAGACAGTTATCTAGCAACTTCTTGTGGCCTATCTAAATACGAAACAAAAAGCGGACAATTTTTTGCTCACCAAAATCAGGCTAAAGAATTCGCAAATCAGAAAAAAAAACAGCGAATTCTTTTGAAGGAATTTACCAAGCTAATACCGTAAGTTTTGAAGTAAAATTAAATCGATTTTCGCATTTCTCGTCAAAAATATTGTTCGTATTTTCAAAGCTGCATATTTTATAAAATAATGGATCGATTTTCAAAAAGTAAGAATCGATGTATAGAGAAATAAAAGTCCTTTCTAATGACCCCCCACTTGACCCCCATTCCCATTTAAAAAAATTTGGGGGATCGCACCCCCACTTAGGGGGTTGAAGATTTTTTTTTTTAAAAAAGTTGTCCCCCTCAGAAGCAAACTTTACCTGTTTTTGGATTTTGCCGAAAAGTTCATTACTACCTTGTAATGCCTTGCGGTACGTTTTCGATGGGCTACCCTGTATGTATTTCCATTCTAATTATATCCTTTTTGCATATAAAATAATTCTTACTTGAGCCTATGCAGCAGCGGCAATCCAGCCCCAATAGGAGAGACGACAGGTTCTGAGGCTATCTGTTCCTTTTTCTCGCCCTCCTCCTGGCTTAAGTCGTGTGACCGCACCCTCGACATTCTCTTGAGGGTTGCTTTGTTGTTGTTTGTAGGCGTGTGTAGTGGCTGTAGTTCTAGCGACTCTTGAGACCTGCGGTGAGTCCTCGTTTTCTTTAGAGCGTTCCTCAATCCCTAAATATCGATTAAATGATTAAGACCTACACTGAAACTAAATATATGAATTATTGTATTCGCACTTATTTGTGATTTTTGTTTGTTATTTATTCGTGTAGTCTTATTCTTTGCGGATATTACCAATGAGGTGAAAAGTAATTAAAAAAAGTATATGTATAAATAATAGGGAAGGATTCATTGTGTGGAGAGTAGAATAGCTGTATTATTTGCAGTTGTTTTTGTAACGTTGTAGCGTAGTTTTACGTTTTTCTTTGTTTATTGAAAAAAATAATAGGATAAATTCTTGCGCCAAAAGGATCAGTTAGGAGTGATTTTAATTAAACTGTTTTTGCCTAAGCAAAAATCTTACACTGAAAAAAGCAGACAAAAGATCAACATCACTGTGTCGCATACTTTAGTTCAATTAGCGTTTCGGAAAAATCTGTGTTATCAAAATTGGGAATGACGTTTCTTTTTTAATTAGGCTTGGATGGACAACTAGGATGTTTATTTTATTCTGAAAAGGTACAGGGTGATTCACTATATTTTGACCCCCCCCATTAACTCTTTTGTTTTTTAGAGTTATAAAAAAATGTGGGAAACAAAAATTGCACGACTTTTTATTATTATTATATTAACAAAATGCCCGCGGATGTTAACTTTGTTAATTTAAATTGAACACCCTGCATATTGTTAGATATTTGGATGGAACGTTTTGTGTCGAGCATAGTCATATAAGGTTTGTTGGGTCAAGCTCGAACAATAAGCGAGATACTATTAAAAAAAAAGAAGGTTTTTTTATTAAGAAAATAAGATATCTTGTAATTGTTAGACCTCTTTCAGGCATTTCTGCCTTTTTTTCAATTACGTAAAGATTTACAGATTTAGTTGTAATTTGTGTTGACATATGGGACATTGATATGGTCCAAAATGCATATAAGTATTTTAACTAAATATCACTAAATAAGCCGTGGGAGGCCTAATTACTCATGGACAATGTTATATGGTAGGCCGTGTCAGTGACGGGTAATGTCATGACAACATTGTTATTGTTTGATAGTTTGATTTAATTAAAATAGGTTAAACAGAAGTAGAAATTTTATTAGGAATTCAAATAGAGTAAAGATTTTCTCCATACTCTATTTTAATTCCTAATAATATTTCTATTTTCTACTGCTGTGCAACCTATTTTAATTAAATAATAATACAAATTGTCAATCAATAACAATGTTATCACGACATTACCTGTCACTGTCACGGCCTACCACATAACATTGTCTATGAGTAATTAGGCCTCTCACGGCCTAATTAGTGATATTTAGTTAGAATACCTATATCCATTTTGGACCATATCAATGTCTGATAGGTCAAAATATATTACAACTAAATCTGTAAATCCTTACGTAATTGGAAAAAAGGCTGGCATAAAGTACCTGAAAGAGGTCTAACAATTACAAGATATGTTATTTTCTTAATAAAAAACATTATTTTCTTTTTTAATAGTATCTCGCTTATTGTTAGAGATGAACCCAATGAACGCTATATGACTATGCTCGACAGAGAATGTTCTATCCAAATATGTAAAAATATTGAGGGTGTTCCATTTAAATTAACAAAGTTAACATCCGCGGCCATTTTGTTTGGACATCATTTGTTTCTCAAATATCATTTTCGAAAAATTCATAAAAAAATCGTGGAACTTTTGTATTTTACATTTTTTATAACTCTTAAAACAAAAAAGTTAAAGGGGGGTCAAAATATAGTGAATCACCCTGTACATACCTAAAATATATGAAAAAATATCTGTAAATACACAATCTATATATGATATGCTTTGAAAGCAACTAATAATCACTTTATTTAATAAAAAGTTATAAACACTTTAGAATTTAATTGTAAAAAACACTAATTTATTTTATTAAAGTAATAACAGTTTGAAAATCTTGGTATGCAGATCATATCTAACCCCACAGACAAGTCTCCTAATTGCTGATATTNATAGCTTATTGTTAGAGATGAATCTAACAAACCCTATATGACTATGCTCGACATCCAAATATGTAAAAATATACAGGGTGTTCCATTTAAATTAACAAAGTTAACATCCGCTGCCATTTTGTTTGAACTTCATTTGTTTTTCAAATATAATTTTCAAAAAATTCGTAAAAAATCGTGCAATTTTTGTATTTCACATTTTTTTTATAACTCTTAAAATAAAAAAGTTAAAGAGGGGCGGTCAAAATATAGTGAATTACCCTGTACTTAATTCTGTCTTTGATTTTAACAAATTTGACATTAGAATATTTTTTTAAGTAACTACTACTTTCTGGACTAGCCCACACATCCTAATAGTACTAATAGCAGTAAAAAGTTCATGAAATTCTATTTATAGAATACTACGTGAGTGCAGTAAAATTATGTTGAAACCCCTCGTCCTCTATTGGATAAGACAAACACAAAGATTAAATTAAAAAGCGAATAATTAAGAAATCAAAAATATCGCTTAGGAAGATCATATAATTAAATGGAATTCAGCCAAAATTTTGGAGAAGAAAAATAAGACACTTAAAAAAAGTTTTATTAGATGTGTGATAGATTATTCTACGAATTTGGATCCTTACAGGTTATAAATATTAATAGAATTAAGTAATAATGATATTAACAACCCACGATATGTCTAATTATGTGACTGTCCAGCCTAATTGAAAAAGAAACGCCATTTCCAGTTTTGATAACGAAAACAAATTAATTTTTCGAAACGTCAATTATAATAGTGCGCAGTAATGACTAATGAGTATTTTTATTTTTTATCTGTTTATCCTTTTCAGTGTGATACGTTAGGTTGTGCAAAAACAGTTTAATAAAAACAGTCCGTGATTGATCCTTTTAGCGCAAGGATTTGTTTTATTAATATTTTTATTTATTTCACAGATGACAAAATATCCAACAAACAGAGGAAAAAACGGCTGTTATTATCCTAAATAAAAACAATTTTCAAATACAATGTATATTTGAATATTACAAATTTTAAAATTAATTTCAAATATACTGGGCGAAGTTTAAAAGAATGCTAGTAAAACGTAATCTTTTTTAATGAAACTCGTCATATCTGATTTTAAATATTTGAAATCGCAAAATTGTGAGTGTGGTCACATAATTAATTTTGAATTTGGTTGTGACGTAGCTAAATTATTTCGAAAATTTTGTTTTCCTAAAAACAGTCTGTTACATATATTTGGTAGTGTGAGAGATAAAGGTTAGTATTTAAAATATATGAGACAATTTTTATTTTATACTGGATAATTTTTATAGTATTTAAAATGTATTCTATTTCATTTTTTAATTATAAAGAACGTTTTTTATTAAATAGATCTGGAAAAAACGACAGAATTTAAAGAAGAAATCCCTATGGGTTTCTTTGGAAAAAAATGCGACAGATTATTTCTGAAGGTAGTCTAATACACAAATATACCAATTTTTGTATACTAAACCTTTTGTAGTACTATCGTCTGTGTTTCATAATGAAAAACAGGATTTTAGGTATTTATTCATGTATTTCAAGATCGAACACAACTTTGAGGGTTTTTGACATAATTATAGTTTTCGAGAAGTGTAATATAATAAAAGTTTCAGTTGCATAAGTAATTATAACTAATAAATAATAATTTATAAAATTAAAAGTACATATTTTTTAAAATGTAAACTACTTATAAACAAAGGTAGACATTTTGCAAAACATCTATAATATTACCATATTTACATAATTATTTTGCTTCCAAGTTCCTTAGTTATTAATAATTTTTGCATCAATCACATTTAATAAATTGTTTCACTTTTCCTAATGACCGAATTATTGTTCAAAATAAATAACTAAACCAAGCCAGGTTGCGGGACAAAATTTAAATTGATTTATATACCTACAATATCAATTCAGTCTTGTAAACATATTTGTAGAGGCTATTGCATTTAAAAAAACTTACATTTGATCGCCTATTCTTCGTGTATCACCCTGTATATTTTGAAAATAATTCTGAACTGTTTCTTATCATTTCTTTAAACAGTTTTTTGTATTTCGACTAATAGCAGAGCTAATGTACCACTTATACAGGGTGTGGCGTGTATAATCTATGAAAATTAAACTACTGCTTCCTAACGATATTTGCAATAGAAAAGTCTTATACGAAAAAGTTCTGTTTTTGTGTTTTTTTTTTTCGTAAATTAAAGTTCAATTATGGATCAAAATATTTTCTCTGGAACGGTCCTGTCCGTGTGCTGTACGATGAGTTACGTGCTGTAGACCAGCCGCGTAAACAAATCGTCGTTGAAAGACAGAAAGATACTCAATTTTTGGGGAAATTTTCAATGCAAAAGTGCAAACTAAGAAAAATATATATTTAAAAAAAAAACCTGATATTTTCTTATTATAATAATTAACAGTAATTACTATCTTAAATGCATTGTTGTTACAGCAAGAGTTGTAAACAAAACCACATCCGTAAGCATCTGTAGTTGCCAACTGCGATCACAAAACAATCTCCATTAAAATATGGGACAAAATGAAATAAAATTTCTAGAGAAAATGTTGAAATTGATCCCCATTAGCGCGGATACAGGCGTGGCACCCACGCATCCAATTTTGGCGAATATTTTCCCAAATTGCAGGTATTTCCCTAAATGTGTCAGCAGCATCAAGTATACGGTTTCGCAATTCTTCCACCGTAGCAATTGGGGTATTTTAAACCGATGACTTCAAGTGACTCCAAAGATAAAAGTCCATTGGAGTTAGATCGGGTGACCGAGGTGGCCACGGCATAAGACCAAAGCATCCAATCCATCACTGAGGAAACATTTCATTCGTTATTTCTCGAGTACTGTGTCTCCCGAACTTGTAATGCCACATCGTCCAATAATTCGGCAACCGGTTTTCTAAAAAGTCAGTATATGTTGGTCCATTTAGTCGCACATCAAAGAAATATGCACCCACAAGTAATTCGCCTATTATGCCAGCCCAAACATTTACCGAGAATAGATGTTGAAAATGTGTTTCCCTAATCGCGTGAGGATTTTCATCGGCCCATATGTGCATATTATGGAAATTCACTTCATCACGGGTAAATGTCGCCTCATCTGTTATACAAACATAAGCAGGACATAGGGGTGTCATAGCTGGCGCCTTAAGGTGCGATGTACGGTACGAGATGTGGTTCCTACTTGCTGTGCGAGTCGTCGAGTACTAATTGTAGGGTCTTCCTCAAGATTTTCCAACACTGCATCTTCAACATTAAGGTTTATTTGCTGACCACGTCCTTCTCCTCGAGGAATTACACTTCCCGTATCTCGCAGCCGCTGAACGCACTGTAGGATTGTATTTGCACATGGGGGGTGACGTTGTGGCCATCGTTCCAGGTACAACCTAATCGCCGCTAGCGCATTTTCTCCGGTTGCACCATACACCAACACCATATCGACACGTTCGGAAATAGTAAATGCATTGTTTTCAAGGTTCATTATAAAACTTGTTTGTGCATAAACTACAAGATTAAGCAAAGTAAGAAATAAGAATCTCGTTTTTAATGTAATCGGCACGCTATTCTTATTTTTTACTTCTTTATAAAAATTACACTGTCACTATCGTGGAATTACAAAATAAAAACTTTTCTCTGGATTCTTTCACTTTTTAACACTGATGGGTCGTTGGACGATGCTTAATATTTAATAATTAAGAATAATAATGAATTCAATACAAATACAAAATCAGTTGACTGCACAAATTTTTTGGCAATTTAACCTAACCTTCTTTTAGTATTACTACGCGAAGATAGACTTTTCTATTACAAATATCATCAGGAATCTATAGATTATATACGCCTCACCCTGTATTATTATCACGAATAACTCCTTTTAAATGATTATTATGATGTTTCTATAACTGATATCGACATTTTCTTAATCCTATTTTTTGACAAACCCTTACCTTCGCCTCGCTTTTTATCTTATCCACAATGCCCTTGCCATCCTGTCCGTGGCTGTGGCCGTGGTGATGTTCCTTGTGGTGTACCGGATGCCGAGCAGACGCCTTGACCTCCATAAGTCGTTTTCTACCTAGGGCCTGCAGGATCTCTTGGGCTTCCGGGTAGTCTTTCATTGCGGCTAAGACGTCTTCACGAGATAACGAGAACAATTCGGAATATCCTACTGAGCGAACGTCAGCAGTTCTCCTAAAAGTGGTATTTTTCAGAATAGTGTATATGCAAGGTGGACCGATTTTTATATCCCACTACCAACGTCTTGTTGGCGGTAAGAGGTACGAAGTAGATTAAGTTCGAAAAACAAATGTTATGTCAAGCTTTGAAGTGAAATCGAAACCAATTAATTTTGAAAAAAAACTGGAAATTTTGGATTCAGAAAAGTTACATAACATGTAAAAAACAGCTACTTTTTTTTATTTACACATTTTGCTAAAGACTATTTCTCTCTTGATATTGAAGCAATAAATATCAACGGCACTTTTTGAACTAGGTATAAGTATATGGGTCGTTTCAAATTATCTGTCTCTAGTGTCAGAATAAACAGTTATGTTAAAAATTCTATTCAAATACAGCATAGGATGCCATTATAACAAATATGTTTTTCAGTGTTTTTTCATTTAGTGCAATATAATCGGCAGATAAATTCCTACAACTTTATTATGTTTACTTTATAACTCCAATAATAATGGAGTTAACATTAGCGCTGGCAAAATTTGAACCACCCTGTATAACCTACTTGTTAAGTCCATCCAAATTTAGGATGCCTATTTCCCCGAAAAAGTCTCCAGCCTTCATGGTAGTCAGAACTTTTCCATTTTCGCTCAAAACTTCTAAAATACCATCCGCTATTATGAACATCTCCCTAGCCACCTCCCCTTTTCTGCAAATCGAGTCGCCAGGTGTGAAAATATAAGCTTTCATTTTTAGCACCAGATCCCGCAAAAATTCCGGTTGGCATTCTTGAAATATAGTCACCTAGAACAAGCGAATATAATAATTATACTTCAAGTTTAATTGGGATTCACATCTGGTGAGTTTGCTGGTCACAACAGTTGTTTAATGTTAATAATACTAATTACATTTCGTAAAATGTTATCTACTTACTTTTTTCAACACACTTAAATTGACATGTAAGGCAAGCTCTGTTTTCAGTTTATCTGGAAGCAAGCCAAGGGCTGTGTTGATGTCGCCACCCCCTTGGATCCTGCCCCTGGACCACGAGTAATCGTACCACCTTAACACCCTTCTTTTCATTCCACCAGGTACCTAGAATATAGAAACTTGTCAGAAAGTAATTCTCTATGGCAATTGTTATTTATATTTTTTTAATAAGAATACAAATTGTACCTTTAGATATTAAGAATACAAATTAAAACTTTAACAAAGTACCGCAATATCCGTATAGATATCGTTATAAAAATTAATTGTAGTAAAATTAGTACTACTATTTGATTCGTAATATTTGGGAATTTTTAAGTATTTTGTATATTTTAAAATGTAAAAGAAAAGCAAATTTTATGCAAATACTAAAAAGCTTAGTCGCTCATGATGAGAACTTTATTTTAGTACGTACTTTAAGGGAAAGTAATAATAACACACTTGAAGATAATGATGCTATCATTTTTTAAATCTGTTTTTATTACTACTAAAATAACAGAGGCTGCATACTCTGTCTGTATAATTTTAAGAAGGTAGACATTTATACATACATCACATGACTATTTCTTTGGCGGTAAAGCGAGAACAAAAAGTAGGTGTTCATAATCTGGTAACACCAGGTTCTTGAAAAAAAAAATTTTATTTAGTTATAATATTGCATATATGTATTTAAAACTTCTATTACGAGTAAATGTAATTTTTTAATGACTAACTGAAATCAAAAATTTCGTTAATTTACCGAAAATTAATATTATTAAACATTAGCTTTTTATTCGAATAAGATAAATTTAATCACATTTTGTTTCTTAGCAATAGATATACGGGGTATTTAAATCAGAACGGTGACATTATTATCTAAGAAACAATCAGAGATTGGAAATAACGGATGGTAACGTGTTTTATCTATTCAAAAAATATTAGAAGGGGACCAACATTATGCCTCTAAAAAATCAAGGCTAACATGATTAGTTTTCGAAATATTAAAAAAAAACGAAAATTTTGTAATCCGTTTTTGTTTTATTTCAGCCTTGTTTGAGGTAATATTGAAAAAAGAAGAACACTTTCTTGTGGTAACGTTTTGCTTCTCTTTCGAATGACATAATCAATTTTTGTATGTAACGTTTCGTCTCTCCAGGACGATCATCAACATCATTTTTTCAAACACGACCCTGGTAATTTCTTTACATTTTTTGCAAATTTTTATGACCCACAATACTATACTGCCTCAGCCAGAATCAGGTTCAGACGTTTTGTCTCAAAAAATTCATCTTCAATGTATTCGTTCCAAATGTATCTATTTTTTACATTTCTGATTATTGAATTATCTTCCATTCTAAATGTCGTTAGACCTTGTGAAATCCACTTAGTTATTTAAACTATTACCATCACCTGGTCATACATAACTCGATAAGTTGTTGCGTCACAATTAAAACATTATTACGATTTTAATTTTATTATGACAAATCAATTCTTAAAAATGTATACGAAGAGCCAAAACTTCAAATGAATATTGTAAATTAAAAAATTACAGTAAAAACGTTTCCGGCAAATGTTGAAAATGAAGATAAGTATAATATGATCGGAATTTATTGTACCTCTAACCGCAACTGTGAAAGAGCTTGTCAGTATTTGAATGAATATCCTGAGAAAAAAATAGACCTGAATTTGTTTGAATTTTGAGCACTCGAGAAACCTAAAAATAACGATGGGAAGGGGATTAAAACTCTACTGTTTTATTGTAACGTGTGATGGTAATAGTTTAAATAACTAGGTGGATTTACCAGAGTCTAACGACACATAGAGTGTACAATAATTCAATAAACATAGAAATCTAAATAAAAAATTTAGATAAATTTGGAACGATTACATTGAAGATGAATTTTTCGAGACAAAACGTCTGAATTTGGTTCGGGCTGAAGCAATGCAGTATTGGGGGTCATAGAAGCTTGCATAAAATTTCCAGGACCGTATTTAAAAAAATTAAGTTGATGATGGTCCTGGAAAGACGAAACGAAAAATTGATTATGCCATTCGATAGAGGGCAAAAAGTTGTCATGAGAAGGCGTTCTTCTTTTTTCAATGTCACTTCAAACAAGGCTGAAATAAAACAAAAACGGATTTCAAAATTTTCGTTTTTTTTTTTTTTTCAAATATTTCGAAAAGTAATTCATGTTAGCCTTGATTTTTTTAGAGGCATAATGTTGGTCCCCAGATTACGAAACTTTGCCCCCATTTAAGCTAGTTAGTATCTCTTTCGTTTCTGAAATCCCTGTAGTGAGATGCAAGTTTGTAACAGCCTGTATACTACTACAAACTCCACTTCCACTTAAAATGTAGTAGCTATTTTTAACACACGTAACAAGTAGCACAGCGCTCTGTGAAGTTATAACATTGACTTTTTTAACACGTTTGATCCTAGCATCTTCTTTGACTTTAGACACTATAAAATACGTAATTTGTTTACTAGTGCATAAAATAGTATGTTTATTATTTAATTCATAACATATACTTTTCGGTAGTATTTTCTTTTACTCAGGGCTGTTATTGTTACTGCTTGTGCTTTCACTAATGACTTTTTAAACTCAGATCGTAGGCGTTTGCATTTTTTAATTCAAGAATAAATTAAATCTGATCTCCTGAAAAGAAGCGCCGAAAATTGAGTCAAGCTTAATTAATTCCAAAGTGCTCCTCCGGACTTTCATAATGACATAAGTTGATAACCTTATTTATCCTTAAATTGGAAATATTTCGTACAAAAAATTCGCCAACGGCACTTCCACCTACTCGATTATGTTCTGTACATAATAGGCGAAAGTTCATAGAACCGTCGACTGGCACTTAAAACTTTGGTTATTAATGTGGGAGTTCAGGAGTTTCCATATTTCATCATCTTTAAATCTAATGATTTATTAACGTGCAAGTATGCCTTAAATTGCAAAATATAAATCGAAACCTTCCTGGATAACCCAAAAAACTTCTGTTTTATAAGGATTTTATTAAAAATTGTAACAAAAATGTTTTGCTGAAATCGTTCGGAAATGTGCACTTTTTCGGTCCAATTTCAGACCCCAAAATGCCGTATTCTAGTGTTTTAGTTCGTTGCTAAGCAACTGTCAACAAAAATATACGGGAAAGTTACTTTTCCGTACCGTTTTTTTATTCATAATTTGTACAGTAAATTCTTATAGGCAAAACAACACACATCAAAAATGCATTATTTAGTAAACACAACATTTGCTGAACAAATTCTACATATTAGTTTATTATAACTATTTGTTTATATTTATAATTGTGTTGCAGTTTGTACAACTATAAAACTAACTTTACTCGAAAATTCGGCGACATTATTGCTGTTAATTATTTCTTGTTCGACAAAATTATTACTATTAGCAAATTTCTCTTTGTCTCTCCACCGCCCCACCCCTCTCTAAATATTTTATCTGCTGCATTTGTAAAACATTCCTCTATATATCCTTCGACAACGTTTGAAGATTTCCATCCCGCATGTTTCTTTAATGCAATTAAATCTACTCCAGCTACTCCAGACGGAAACAATGTCCTGCGTATTTATCTACATTTGGCAAATTTAAAAGTTTTGCTACAATTTGAGGCATTTTACCAAACTGATGTATTCCTACTACTTGGCTATAACCTTTTCCATTTGAATATTCAAAGAAAAAGCGACAACTTTCAAAATTTTCTGGACAGCACGCAACATATTTTCTATACAGTGGCATATAAGTTTCGTTTATCACAAATGACCTCGGTTTTTTCGTTTTAGCTTCGCGTATATTAAGGAAAAACTAATAACAAAGAATTATAAAATTTTCACATCATTCTTCATTAGGTTTATATTATTTGTGCTTCAATAATCAACGTTTCAAGTTCTTTATTTGACAGACTTTTGACTTCTTTGGTTTATATTTGTTATCTGACATTTCAGGAAAGCACGTAATTTCAAATATTTTGAATTTTGTCTTCCTTTGTACTAACAAGTAACACTACCCAACTGTCACTCACCGATCGGAATGAAACTCTAAAAAATATTGAACCCGTATTTTTTTATTTTTTCTGTAGAAACCACCCCTAGAAGACGGTAAGAGCGAAAATCTCCAATTTCCGGGTTTTGACCTCTCGTTTTGTTCGTATTTCGATTCTCTACAAATTATCTCTTTATAGCAGTCAGAATGCTTCGTTAGTTTAGATTTTATAAGCAAAAAACTAATAAAATGATCATTTTTTACATAAAAATGTTTATAAAAAATTAATGGTAAATTGGAGTAGGTAATGTATAAGGATATATCTACAAACTGTCTATTATATGATGACACAGTCCGTTTGCTACTTGTATCTTTGTCACATACAAAACCGCTATTGGCTTAAATAGTCCAATCAAATTTTTCAGGTGCAAAAAAATAGTTCAGTAATTGAAAATATGTAAAAATTAGGAAAAGCTTCGTAGAAATCAATGAACTACTTTATCTCACCTGAATTTTTGGGTTTCATTTTTAAAATGGCGTCCAAACTTCGCAAAAAAACATTTTTTTTTCATTTATAAAAAAATTTACATTTAAAAAAATATTTCAAACATTACTCTAGTAATTTTTAATACGGATCGAATAAGCTCAAGCCGGTTTTTATCGATAAATAAATTAATTAGTTATTGCAAAAAAAACGCTAAAAATCGCAATATTTTTAAATAGTTGTATCTTACAAAAATAAATATTTTATATGAACCTTGGTGAAAGCTCTTGGCGAGTAAAAAAATAAAATGATTTTTTCAAAATTGATAAATATTTTATAGTTTTTGCAAAAATCGAGTTTTTCGAAAAAAAAAGCGTTTTCGTAAAATCTCCATAAATCATAGGCCTCCACATTTTTATTAACGGGATTGGGCTTAAAATTTTCTTTAATAATTACACTATTATGTGCAAATATTGCGCGAGCCTCAAATCGATTTCAAATATCGCAAAAAACGAACGAAAAATCGCTTTTTTTTTCGGGGCCATAAAAATTTTATTAACTTTTTGATTTCAATTTGTATCAAAATGTCTATACTGCCATTCAAAAGATGACATTTTTTTAAGCATTTAAAAAAAGTCTATCCT